ACATCTTGAGGGAACCAGTGCGAAACTACGCCACCCGTGAAGCAGCTGCATGCGCTGCATTTCCTACGCTATGCAACATCCTACAAGCAATTCCTTGTAAGTCTACGCCCAAACAACTGACTCGCCAGATGACGCAAATAGGACATTCCTCGTGCTCAATCCAAGCGAAAATTGTCTGCACATGTTGATGGTAGTGGTGGGGCGCACGGCCACAAACAGGGCAATTGGCAACTGATTTGTTCACCACAGTGTCAGTCAAATGTTTGTGGGCAAGCAGTGATGCACAGTGGTTGGAGTGGTCGCATATCTGCCGTCTGTGCTGAAGGAGGTAATGAGGAGGAGAACAGCCATGCCTAGGTGAGTTTGAACCCTATTTGACCTCAATGAGCGTCTGGTGATCTTCAGTGCCCTCCAAGCCCACACGAACTAAAAACGCCCGAAAGACGGAAAAACAAGGAAACGCCTTAAAGGAATGGGCATACCACGCAGTTGTTTGAGTTAAATCGGAGGCAGGAACCCAAAGGGCGTACGCTTGAAGATGAGCATCATAACTGGCATCGTATCTTTGTGTGATTCGAGCGAAACCAGCCAATAAGCCTTCCTTCTCCCCATGCGCATGGACACTTGTGCAATGCCCTGACTGGTGTCGTGATGAGCATGTTAGATGCCCTCGACCGCCAGTCCTCCCAACAATATATTCAGCCTACCTTCTTGTAAAGTCAACAAGTCGACCACATCGTGGGTGTCGAATTGATAGGTAAGTGGTTGTAGAAGCTGAAACCATAGAAAATCAATGCAACCTGATATGCCGTAGGACATGATAACTGCATTATATGTAAGAATGCCTGTATGATGAGCAGTTTGCAGCAGCTCCACGGCGTGAGGCTCATCAGTATCGCCTTGTAGATTGCTGCATTTGCTCTGCAGTGTTTCAACAATCCACTTCATTTGCAATCTCCTCTGGATGTCAAGGTTGGAGCCAGACTCGTGGGCTCTCACACAATGACACTTTTCACTTCTGGCAAAATTGCCGTGTCCGCGAATGGAAGGGAGGGCGTAACCTACAAAGCGTGGCGTTGCTGTGTTTGAGGGAGCCTTAGCCAGTGCCATTCCGACAGGCATATGAGGCTGTACGTGATCAACGAACAATCTGTCGAACGGCACTCCGACAAAATTTGGATAAGGCAGATTGCTAATTTCAGCTAAACTGGGCATTTGACGCCTCGCATGTGGATGCAAACTGGGGAGTCGCCGAAACAAATTTTCGTGACTTGAGTCAAAACACGGATAGTCAAGCGATACGAACAAATTGCATTGCCTACTGCCGTGATCACCACTACCAATTTAATATTCATTTTTATCTATTTGCATCATTCGGCGATTCAAAATCATTTGCTGCAACGGATGATGCTCACTCCACTTTTAGCCCAAAGTTGCATGTACGTCATTCCGCAGAGCTATACCGTCACCTCGAATTGTGCCCGTACAACCGGATGGAAGATGCATCGGTAAAACTCATTGTCGCTGACAGCTGCAGCAGTGTTTACGGCACTGTTGCATCCCTAAAACGGAATAGTGGTCGATCTGGGGCGAGTGAGAGAATATGTTGTGACTTGTGTGGTGGAACTGATAAACTACCACTTTTTATGTAAGACATTAAAGTGTCAATTTCTCATTTCTTGGTTTGCCATCGCTTCGCCAAATGGTAAGCACTGTAAAGTAAAAGCGACAGACATAACGAAGACTTTGTCAGCATTAAGCAATAATCGGTCCGTTTATTCAATACCAGCCTCTGAAGAATACCCACGAAGTGATGTTATTGAGGTACACTTTTGGTGATGCATCATTCATAAGACTGCCGGCAGGACTACCAACACTGGAAGCATCTGGAGGATCACTTGACAAAGAAGTACTGGTTGATCTACTCGTACAATATCTGCGTAGATCACGCAGAGGGTGGAGCGGTGGCCACCACGCTATATAAGCAACCACACCTCAGCACACAAATCAGTTGTAAGGAAGGAGAAGGGACAGTGGAAGAAATGGAGTGGGGAGGATGGCCATGCTCATATCCGTGGAAGTGGGCTCCGTGGTTTGAGGTTGCAAAGGGCTCGCAATGGGGAGAGAAGTCGGTGTGGTGGCCTGTGCAGAAGCCGCAATGCTGGTCGCCATGTGCTTGGCCGTGGCAACAACCGTGGGGTTGTTCGCAACAGTGGTGGTAGACGACTACCACCACCAATACCACCACTGAGGCTGTGCATGCATCGCCTACTATGACGCAGCCTCCGGATGTCGCGACGGCGTTATACATGCACTATCCTCATCTACTTTGCTTTGAATGCGTAACTAATGCTACTATCATTAACCTTCCATTTAAAAAATCAAACTAATCAGCTATCAATCATTTGGCGTTTTTTGCTGAGATGTGCGAACAAGTGGTGATTCTTGAGAGCGGTTTCATGGTATGTGCTTAG